ATGAGGCAGCTCTTTCCCAGTCCTATTTTGAGTGCCTTCTGACCCAAGGGGCTCATCTTCCTGCACTGTGTTGGACAATGTTTCCAAGCTATTCATAAAGTTGCCCAGTATTGTATCAGACAGTGTTTCTCTGCTATTCATAAGGTTTTACCTGGCCAATTTTTTTGACAAGTGGATGGCCTCTTCCTTCTTCCTAGTCTGTCTCAGTCTGTAAGCTGCATTGAAACCTGTGCACCATATCCAACATTGCTGGCCTTTGAAACATCGGTGGCACAGCCTCAAGTCTCACAGCAACGTGTAAGCCCCACAGGATGACAAACTGACAGACAAGTTTGTCTCCCTTAGCTATTGGAAACCTCTCTGCCTGCCCCTTACCTAATTCCTACCTGGATCCTGCCACTCTCGTGGTCCCTGGCCTCTACCTGCCTTTCCTGGCTCTGGGGGCTGGGGCCTGCCTGCCTCCCACCTCCCTTCTCTTACCTGGAGCCTGCAGCTCTTGTTGTCCCCAGGCTGCTCCCTCCCTTTCCTGGCTCTGGGGTCTGGGTCCTGCCTGCCAAATATTTACTAGTGGGATAAACAAATGAAGTAAGTGTTTTCTTTTAAGGCAGAGAATGGGGAGGGAGAAACGAGTTTTTTTTTCCCCCAAGCTTGTGGGAGTATTGCACTTGATAAGACCAAAATATTTCATTACATCTTTAAGAACATTCAAATTCTTTTAAGTGGAAAGTAATTCTCTTGTATTAAAAGATAGCAATGTGGCTGTTTGTAAATTGTCAGAGAGCTACCAAGTTATATGATAATGAGACTTAGTGGACATTTTCACTGAACAAACTGACTTTCAACTAAATTGTCTTTTTTTTTTTTTTTTGCCTTTGGTAGTAAATGCCATTCCCTCTCAACTGGCTTTTCTTTATTAGGCAGTATACATTTCAGGAATTTTCTTCTATTATTTAGCCAGTGACAGGTGACTGGAAGGAAATGTGCTGTAATTTTAGATAAGATTTATGAACTTTATAGCATTTACTTTTTTTTTTTTACATCCTTTATGAGATTAGATACAATGTTATCGAGAACCTGAACACTTGATTTCAGAAATCATAGTTTAAAATTTTCTCTTCAGTGCAGTATATATTTTAGTCCAAATAAATTATGGTACAATAAAAAGCCTCAGACATGAAGTCAAGATATGGTAAGATATCTTTAATGTGCTTAATAATAAACATAAAGCCATTTAGAATTTGAAGACAGTAACAATCTTTACTCAGGGTAGTGCCATTTTCCTTTTTCTATATGGTGTATTTTCTTGGTATGTGAAATGGAGGTGAGTATAGAGAGTGTTCAGAGAAGTTAGAAAAGAGACACAGGCAGAGAGCTAGTCTCATTGCCTCTCAAATAGCCATCCTCTTATTCCTCCCTTCCTTTTACAGAGCATCTAGTATGTGTAGGTATTGTCCTGTGTGCTTTTCAAAGCTCTCATTTCCTGAGGAAGGTGGCATTATCCCTATTTTACAGATGAGGAAACAGGTTTGGAGAAGTTAAGTTATTCACCCAATAAACCAGAAGTCAAATCCATATCTGTCTGAATCCAAAACCTATGTTCATAATCACTGTGAAATAATTCTGCCTTAAACTGATTTCTGCTTAGTATTGTTGTTGTTGTTGGTGGTGCTTTTAAGTCAATTCCAACTCATAGCAGCTCCATGTGACAGAGTAGAACTGCCCCATGGGGTTTTCTTGGCTGTAATCTTTACAAAAGCAAATTGCCAGGTCTTTTTCCAGCAGAGCTTTTGGGTGGATTCAAACTACCAACCCTTCGGTCAGCAACCAAGAACTTATTCATCACACTACCAGGCTCCTTCTGTTTAGTATTAGTACATGATAAACTAGCATGGGGATTATTTATGTGGCTAGAGAATACCATTTTGAATAATAAGATACGAAGCATTCGTAAGAAAGGATTGTATGTCATGATTTTTTTCTTTTTGTTATGTTTGCCTTTTTTCCTTATAGTATAATAATACTGCTTTTGCTCTACTAGCCTCCTAACCTTACAGGGATACTCAACACTGTCTACATTAGGAAAATCTAGGTCAAGACCAGAATTGTGTTTAGTCTCATTATATAAGATTATTGATTTAATGTATTGAGAAAATCATAGGACAGCCTCCAACTTCCTAAAATACTCATTTTACTGAATTTTAAAAGTTCTCAGAAGCATTCAAGAACTTCAAACTCACCGTATGAATATTTCATTCCACAGAATGCCTTAGAGTTTCCTAACACCTGTTCCTTACATTCACATTTGCCTGTAGAAAGTAAATGAAAAACTGTGTTAGTTATTTAGAAAGAAAATAAAGAAATCAGCAAGTAAACACAGGTGGCACAACTCTTTGAGGTTTGAGTGATTAATACAACATAACCCACAAATAGTAAAAAGCCCACAAAAAGTCAGTGAAAAGAAGTAGAATCTCTTTCTGAATGGAATTAGTTATCATTCAATAAAATATTAACCTAAGGAAAATATAGAAAGGTAGAAAGGTAGAAACAATTACATAGTTCAATATTTGTAATGGATGTTATGATAAATACAGTCCAATATTAGTATTCTACACTAGTGGAAAGGAAAAACTTTCCTTTATACAATTAGGGCCTGAATGGGTAACCTATAGAAAACAATTGTCTTTTTCCAATTAATATTCCATACGGCAAAAATAAAATAAAATAAAATGGCTGGACAGTTCATTGAAGATAATGCCACTCAATATTTTTAAAAAATGTTTATTGTGATTTGGGTGAAAATTTACAGAGCAAATTCATTTTCCATACAGCAGTTCATATACATTTTGTCTCATGACATTGACTGCAATTCCCCACAATGCAACAGTTCTCTTCCTTCCTGTAGTTACCTCTTCCCTGTTTCCTTCCCTCCCATGAACTCCTGCCCCCACCCCAGCTGTCTCCCTGGGCAAACACTGCCCTTCTATTCTCCCATGATTGATCACTCCAAAGTGTATCTACCTGATGTAAGTGTTCAGCCCATATGCCTGTCTATTGTTTGGCTGGAAGCTTCAGGAGTGGGTTCAATTCCAGACCTGAAGGGCAGCCAGAGGCCATAGTCTCAGGGGTCTCACCGGGCTCCATCGGACTAGCAAGCTTGGTCCTTTTTTTTTTTTTATGATTTTGAGTTTTCTTCCACATTGTTCTCCCACCCTAATCAGGACCTCCTGCACTGATCCCCCTCCGAGTGGTTGACAGTGGTAGCCAGGCACCATCTAGTTCTTCTGGTCTTATGGTCATATAGGCTGAGGACTGCATGGTCTACCAGTCCCTTGGACTAATTGTTTCTATGTGTCTTTGGTTTTCTTCATTCTTCCTTGTTCTGAATGAGGAGAGACCCATCATTGCATCTAGATGGCTGCTTGCAAGCTGTTAAGATCCCAGTTGCTATTCACCATAGTAGGGTATAGAACAATATTTTTGTGTAGTATGTTATGCCAACTGAGCTTGATGTTCCCTGCTACCATGGTCCCTATCCCACAGCTTCAACTACTCACTCCCTTCAGGTAACTGGTTGTAGCCAAGAAGTTGCTACAGCTTTGTCCCTTGTCAACTCTACTATTCACCTGGACATTCTTATAGCACATACAAACACACTTGTAGAAACATCATCTGCCAACCCTATAATGCCACCCAATTTTATAAGTATTTATTATTTATGTGCAAGGTATGGTGATTTATAAAAATGCAACATATAATTCTTGCCTTCAAGCAAATAAAACAAGTATTAAAAAGTAATGTGTTCTAAGAGAGGTACAATATGACTTGGGGAGATCACATATGTTTAGAAAGATTGAAAAGGTTTCATATCTGAAAAAGAATCTAAAATAGACTTTGAAGAATAAGGAGGATATTCCCCCCCATAGTTAAAACTATGTGTTACCACTATTATGTGCAAGACATTTGCCAGGCACTGTGGAAGATTTCCAAAATGCCTTTGCACGCAGTCTTCATATACCATTCTCATGCTTATTTATGTGTCTGTTTCATATTTAGAGTGTGTTCTTTGATAACAATGATTATGTCTTATTTATCTTTATATCCCTACATCCTAGAATGAGTAGGATTTTAATTTTTACTGATTTAAAAATTAGATGTGATTTTCCTCCTTCCTTCTCCCTTCCTTTTGCCCTCATGCAATTTGTTTCATTTCATAGGCACTGAGCAGTAATAACAATGGTAGCTAATTCTTGCTGAGGGAATTCTGGTGGTATAGTGTCTAAGGCATCGGACTGCTAACCAGAAGGCTGGCAGTTCAAACCCACCAGCCACTCCTCGGAAGGAAGGTTGGGCAATCAGCCACTCCTTGGAAGGAAGGTTCGGCAATCTACTTCCATAGTGATACTGCCTTGGAAACCCAAGGAGGGGTTGCTGTGAGTCAGATCCGACTCGACGGCACACAACAACAACAACAACAACATAGGAGCTTTGATGGTATAGTGTTTAAGCCATTTGGCTGCTAACCAAAACGTCCGTGGTTTGAACCCACCAGCATCTCCATGGAAGGAAGATGAGACAGTCTGCTTCTGCAAAGATCTATAGCCTTGGAAATCCAGTGAGGGACTATATGAGTCAGAGTCGACTTGATGGCAGTGAGTTTGGTTTGGTTTGGAAAGCCTCTATAGAAATTAGAGAATGAGATTTATAAGTAGAAAATCACAGTGGAATTTAACAGTGGGAAAGAGAAATCAAAGGTGTTTTATTTCAGCTATCATGACTTGTTAAATAATATTGCTTACCAACTAAACATAGCAGAAAAGATAACTTATTCAGAAGTCTTTTTTTAAAAGCATTTTATCGAAATACAATTTATGTACAGTGAAATACAAAACTAAAGTGACATGGGTCAATGCATTTTTTTTTCAGTGTTCCCTCCCCTCCCCTTCCACCCCTAGAAACTAACAAAGAAAGTTTCCCTCCATATATAAATCTTTCCTTGACTCTCCACAACAACGAATTAATAATATTTGTTTTTCTGTGATTGACTTATTTCACTCAGCATAATGTCCTCTAAGTTCATCCATATTATGCGGTGTTTTGCAGACTTTACCTTATTCTTTAGTGCTGCATAGCATTTCATTATGTATATGTACCATAGTTTGGTCATCCACTCTTCCGCTGATGGGCACATAGGTTGTTTCCATCTTTTTGCTATTGTAAATAGTGCTGTGATGAACATGAGCATGCATGTATCTGTTCCTATCCTGGCTTTCACCTCTCCAGGATATATACCTAGTAATGGGATTCCTGGGTGAAATAGTATCTCCAATTCCAACTTTCTAAGGAATCGCCATATTGCTTTCCACAGTGGTTGTGTCACTTCACAGTCACACAAGCAGTGTATGAGAGTCCCAATCTCTCCACATCCCCACCAGCATTTGTTATTTTCTGTCTCATTGAACCTTGCCATCAGTGCTGGGGTGAGATGGCATATCTCATTGTTGTTTTGATTTACATCTCTCTGATGGCCAATGATTGTGAGCATCTTTTCATGTATTGGCTGACCACCTGAGTATCCTTATCTTTTCCGCCTTCTGTTGTGAATTATAATGAAACCCTTAGAAAAATGATCAGAATATTACGTTAAGTGAAAAAGAATTGCAAATACCTGTGTTTCTCAATAGGTTCTAGATTTTTAAAGGGTTCAGGAGTTTTCTATGAAATGTTTTGTTTTGTTTTGAAGGTAAGTATAACTTCAGTTTATTCCAGAACACCAAACTGCAATGTTTATAATCACAATCATCCACTAATACAACATATTTATTCAATTACTGACAAGATTTCTGAATCTATCCATTAAGAAAGAATGAGCCAATTGCACATTGCATTTGAGCATCTGTAGCCTCCCTAAGGTTATATTCACCATGGTGTCTCTATTTAAAAAAAAAAAAATTATTGTTGTTAAAAATGTATACGAGATATATGCCAGTTCAACAATTTTAACATGTACAGTCCAGTGACATTGATCACATTCTTCAAGTTGTGCAACCATTCTCTCCCTCCTTTTCTGAGTTATGAGTTATTCTTTCACCATTAACATGAACTCACTACCCTCTAAGTTTCTTCTTTAACCTTTTGAGTTACTATTGTCAATCTGATCCCATGTACCTGTTGTTGTTGTTAGGTGCCATTGATTTGGCTCTGACTCATAGCAACCCTATATACAACAGAACAAAACACTGCCTGGTCCTGTGCCAGCCTCACAGTCCTTGCTATACAGAGCCCATCAATTCCTGGAGCCTTGTTCTTCGCTAACTCCTTCAGTGCAGCTTCAACTTCTTCCTTCAGTATCATTAGTTCTTGATCATATTCCACCTCCTGAAATGGATGAACATTGACCAATTCTTTTTGATATTGTGTCTCTGTAGGAAGGTGTATTCCTTCCATCTTCTTTTGATGTTTCATGCTTCATGCACTATTTTGCCTTTATAATCTTTCAGTACTGTAACTCGAGGCTTGATTTTTTTCTTCAGTTCTTTCAGCTTTAGAAATGCTGAGCTTGTTCTTCCCTTTTGGTTTACTAATTCTTTGCACATTTCATTATAATAACTGATGTTGTCTTCTTGAGCTGCTCTTTGAGATCTTCTGTTCAGCTGTTTTATCTTGTAATTTCTTCCATTTGTTTTAGCTACTCTCCATTCAAGGGCAAGTTTCAAAGTCTCTTCTAACATCCATTTTGGTCTTTTCTTCCTTTCTTGTCTTTTAAATGACCTTTTGCTTTCTTCATGGATGATATTCTTGATGCCATCCCACAATTCCTCTGGTGTTCAGTCATTGGTGTTCAATGCATCAAATCTATTCTTTGGATGATCTCTAAGCTCAGGAGGGATATAATGAAGGTCATATTTTGGCTCTCGTTGACTTATTTTAATTGTTTTCAGCTGCACCTTGAACTTGCATACGAGCAGGTAATGGTCTGTTCCATAGTCAGCTCCTGGCCTTGTTTTGGCTGAAGATATTGAGCTTCTCCATCACCTCTTTCCACAGATATAGTCAATCTGCTTCCTGTGTACTCCATCTGGCAAAGTCCACATGAATAGCCACCATTTATGTTGTTAAAAAAAAAGTATTTGCAATGAATAAATTGTTGGTCCTGCAAAATTCTATCATGCAATCTCCAGTATTATTTCTATCACCAAGGTTATATTTTCCAATTACCAGTAATTCTTCGTTTCCAACTTTTGCATTCCAATTACCAGTGATAACAACACATCTTGATTGGTCAAGAACACAACACAACACAACAACAACAAATTTTTTGGTCAATTTCAGACTGCGGAAGTTGGTAAAAATCTTCAGTTTTCTCATCTTTGGTTTTGGTGGTTGGTGCATAAATTTGACTAATAGTAGTATTAACTGGTCTTTCTTGTAGGCATATGGATATTATCCCATCACTGACAGCATTTTACTTCATGAACTCACTACCCCCTAAGTTTCTTCTCTAATCTTTCAAGTTGCTATTGTCAATTTGATACCATGTACATAGTTTTATAAAACAACACAATACTCAAAACAGACATTCTTTACTAATTACGCTTAACTAGTGTTTGGTTTAAGGAGCTCTGGTAGCATAGTGCCCAAGCACTTGACTGCTAAACAGAAGGCTGGCAGTTCAAACCCACCAGCCACTCCTCAGAAGGAAGGTTGGGCAATCTACTTCTGTAGTGATATCGCCTCGGAAACCCAAGGGAGGGGTCACTACGACTCGACGGCACATAACAACAATGACAGGGTTTGGTTTAAAGAAGACTTCAGGGAATATTTTTGGTTTAAGATTTAAAGTTTATAGATTATCTCAGGGCAGTAGTTTTGAGGGTTCATCCAGTCTCTGTGCCTCTTGGAAGTCTGAATTCCATGAGAATTTGAAACTGTGTTCCAAATTTTCCTCCTTTTGATCAGGATTCTTTTATAGAATCTTTGATCAAAATGTTCTCCAAGAATGTTTTGAAATTGTGACTCTGTTCTGATCTGTAAGATGGATCCATGGATAGATAAAATTTAAATGGCGGGTATACATAAATACACATTTTTTTTTCTCTTTTTTGAAACCTTTAATAATAAAATGTTAGAGAAAATTATCATAGAGACTCTCAATCAACATGACTTTGTAACTTCATACTTTAACATGCCTTCTGCTGTGTCTTTTCCAAAACAGTTAAATCTCTTTGTGGACTAGAATAAATGAATATGAAAGGGGTAGGAGACTGAGTTCATAAGTATATTGGATCTAGGCCTAAAATCAGTCAGTAGTGGTTAGGAGTTCAAATCCTAAGAAATAAAGGAGACATAAAAGGAACCAGAGTCAGGCTCATTTTTCTGAAAGTAGAGATTGGGTTAAGGCTTTTCTTGCTAAGGAAGGCATCTGGGAGGGAAAAAATCCCAGATTGTTGCCCATAGCCTGGGTTCATTATTTTTAGTAAACTGCGGGCCTCAAGAAGTATAGGCAGGGCCAACTTCATGGGTGTGAGGACTGTGCAGAGGCACAGCACCCCTCAGAAGGGCCTTGCTTTTGGTTCAATACTCTGCCATCCCTGTCTTAAAATTCCTAATCATTTTTGAATAATGGGCTCCACATTTTCATCTTGTACTGTGTCCCACAAATTACTTAGTCCTTTAAGTGAGCCTAGAAACTGAACCAAGTTGCTCTCCTTGTTTTCAAAGAGTACCTAGGTTGTATTAATATAATAGATGTAGCTATAATAATAGAATAGGTATTATATAAATGAATAATTATATAATGAAATTGCCTTATAAAACCCAAACCAAACTCACTGCTGTGGAGTCTAAAAAGATGGTTTAAAAATCTCTGTTTGGAAAATTTATGTATCCTAGACAATTCCATGGATTAAGAAAGAATTCTTAACAGAAATTACAAAAGATTTGGAAATAATGCTAATGAAAATGCCATGTATGAAAGTCTTCAGGGTGCCGCTAAAAAGTTCTTAGAGGAAAACTTGCAACTTTAAATGTACTTGTTAAAAAAAATATAGACTAAAAAATAAATGAGTTAATCTGTACTCACAAAACTAGGAAAAAAATGAAAGAGTACACTTAGAGACAATATAAGAAAGGAAATATTCAAGATAAAATCAGAAATTAATGGAAAAAACTTATCTTTTTGGAGAAAAATGACAAGATATTACTGAAAGATCTTTAAAAGACTGTGTAGTAAGTGGAAGCATATATTATGTCCATGTTTGGGATAATTCAACATTATAAAGCTATCTTTTTCTTTTTCTTTTTTTTAAGTGTATAAAGTCAAAGCAGTTACACCCAAAATCCCAACAGAGATTCTTATGGGACTTTTATAGTTTATTCTAAAATTCACACAGAAGAGCGAAAATCATTTCCATATTTAATTGATGTTAATTTGAATGTTGTTGGTTTTATTATTTGGCTGAGATTTAGTAAAAACTAAAATTAGGCTAGAAAACAATTTATATTTTTGTTTTATGGTTGTAAAAAAAAACCATAAAAGCTTATAAACATAAGGAGTTAACACCTAGCTTTTGCCTTTGTATGTACTGTATTTAAGTTATTGTGGATCTGCACATTTTCAAACCTGATATATCTGGCCAGTTCTCAACTGTATAGAACTGGTTAAAACCCAAAAACCAACTGCCATCAAGTAGATTCTGACTAATAGCAATCCTGCAGAACAGAGTAGAACTACCCCCAAAGGTTTTCTAAGGCTTTAAATCTTAACAGAAGCAGAGCTGTTGGTAGGTCTGAACCACCAACCTTTTGGTTATCAGCTGAATGCCTTTACTTAACCACCAGAGCTCCTTACAGTATGGAGAGTACACCAGAGCTCCTTAGAGTATGGTTAGAGGGAGTGAAAAAACACACGAAAGTGTTAACAGTGGGGCAATAAGATCTTGAGTGTCTTATTTTTTTTTATCATCATGTTTTACATTTACCAAATTTTCTACTTTAACTACATAATTTACTCTAATAATGAGGAAAAAAGAACAACAGCTTGTTAAAATATCTCTTAGCTATATTTCATAGTTGCAAATTTATGAGGTCACTACTTCATTAATAATTCATTACTTTATTAATCCTCAGAGCTAAAGAGTTCCCAGTCAGGGCATCCAAAAGCTGTTTCTTAGTTTGTTACAAATCACTGTTACCCAAAATCCATTGCTGTCAAGTTGATTCCGACTCATACTGACCCTATAGGACAGAGTAGAACTGCCCTATAGGGTTTCCAAGGCTGTCACCTTTATGGAAGAAGGTACCACATCTTTACTGGTGAACTCCAACAACTGACATTTTGGTTCATACCTAAGTACTTCATCACTACACTACCAGGGCTTTTTCACTTGAAACCAGACCTGGAAATATGTCCATATGTCCAGTTATATCCGCTGTCTTACCTGAATGTCGAAGTGCAGAAAATCCTTGTTCATCCTCCCACTCCCAGGTTGGTTCACTATTATTGTGCATGGAATGGAAGTCAGGAACTTCATGATACCAATCTGTGTCAGTGCTGCTAATAAAATAGAAAATAATGAAGCACCTATTAAGGAATTTCTTAGAATTTCAATGATACATATTTATAGAGTTTAAAACTTCATCAGTTCCCATTCTTTTCAGAAATACTGTTTTCTCTCTGATATAAGAGTCTACTCTTTTTTTAAAATTGTGATTTGGATGAAAGTTTACAGAGCAAATTCACTTTCCATACAGCTGTTCACACACACGTTGTCTCATGACATTGACTACAATTTACCCCAATGCAGTATCTCCCCTCGTACTTCCTCCCAATAGTTACCTCTTCCCTGTGTCCATCCCTCCATGAACTCCTGCCTCCTAAACTGTCTCCCTATGCATAAACAGCCCCTCTTTCTCCCATGATTTTTCTCTCCAAGGAGTGTATCTACCTCAGGTACATGTTTAACTCCTATGCCTATCTTTTGTTTGGCTGGAAGCCACAGGTGTGGGTTCAATTCCAGATCTGAAGGACAGCTAGGGACCATAGTCTTAGTGGTTGCACCAGGCTCTATCACACCAGCAAACCTGGTCCTATAAGGGTCTACTCTTAATAATAATAATAATTTATTTTGTAAAAATAGACTAGCGGAATAATCAGGTATGTCTAGGCAGTAGTGTTCCCATGACCATGCATAGGGTTAGCAGACAGTGTTTCTACATGTGTATTTGTATATGCTGTAAGAATGTCTGGGTAGAGCTGACAAGGGACAAGGTTGTGGTGGCTTCTTGAGGGATCTAGCCTGAGGAAGCTACCCTGAGGGAAGCTACCTGCGGGCTCAGGACCATGGTTGCAGGAGACATCAAGTTCAATTGGCATAACCTACTACACAAAAACGTTGTTCTACAACCTGCTTTGGTGAGTAGTGACTGGGGTCTTAAAAGCTTGCAAGTGGCCATCGAGATGCAATGATGGTCTCTCCATGTCCAGAGCAAAGAAGAAAGAAGAAAAGCAAAGACTCTTGGAAACAATTAGTCCCAGGGACTAGTAGACCATGACATCTTCAGGCTATATGATCATGAGACCAGAAGAACTAGAGGGGGATCGGTACAGGAGATCCTGGATAGAGTGGGAGAACAATGTGGAACAAAACTCAAAATCATAAAAAAAAAAGATCAGGTTTGCTAGTCTGATAAATTCTGGTGGGACCCCTGAAACTGTGGCCCCTAGTTACCCTTTAGGTCTAAGACTGAACTCACTCTGGTGGCTTCCAGCCAAACAATAGACAGGCATGTGGGATGAACATTTACATTGGGTAGATACATTCCTTGGAGCAATCAATCATGGGAAAACAGAAGGGCAGTGTTTGCACAGGGAGATAGCTCAGGGGCAGGAGTACATGGGAGGGAAGGAAACAGGGAAAAGGTAAGTACAGGGAGAAAGTGGGAAGAGAGCTATTACATTGTGGGGAACTGCAGTTAATGTTATGAAACAAAATGTGTATAAACTGCAGTGTAGAAAATGAATTTGCTATGTAAACTTTCACCCAAATCACAATAAAAACTTAAAACAAAAGAGGACTAACTCATCTCTAGAATCTTGTCATAACAAATTACTTGACTCTACAACTTGTAAAAATTATTTAAAAAGGTGTGCAAGTATTCCTTTGTTCCACTAACATCATGCAAGATTCTCCAAATAGCTATCAGATTTTCAAAAGAATCTAAAAGACACATAGATGAGAGCAAGAGCTATGCACATTCACCTGCTGATGCAGTCTCCTGTGAGAGGGTCACAGCTCCCAGCACAGTCACAAGGTCTGCAGCCATAGTCTCCAAAGCCCCAGTATCCCACCATGCACCTATCACAGTGTGGCCCTGCCACCCCAGGCTTGCAAGGGCAGTCACCATTGATAGGGTCACAGAAGGTCACTGAGCTGAAAGGAAGGATAGCTGATCCAACTGGATGGCAGGAACAGGCTACAACCAAGAAGACACACAAGAATCAGTGAGTGACTCTAGATTATTATCTGTGTGGATATCAGGCCCAACAGTCCTAAAAATGGTTTCCTCTCACCACACTTAGAGAATGAAAACTAGTAAAATTACAGATAAGTGAGATTTAGTCATAAAACCATGTCTTTTATGTGAAAGCGAAAGTGTGCAAAGAAGAAAAAAGAAACAAATTATTCTAAAAGGAAAGGCATTAACTGAATCAAAGTTATTAACTGTTAATGCTTTTTGGTTGGAGTGATGAGGATAAACCAGCAAAGAAGAAGGAAAAGGAGTGAGTGGGAAAGGAAAAAACCATGAGTGTGGTGTTTTGGAAGCCAAACCATGAGTATGGTGTTCAAGGAGGAGGGTGATGTATCAAGTACTGATACGTCAAGGAAGATGAATGATGGGAATGGATTATTATTGGTGTCCTTGATAAGAGTTTCATGTAATAGTGAGTGTGGAACCTAATTGAAGAACACTCAGGAGTGAATGGGAGGACAGGAATCAGAGCACAAATACAGAGTTCTTTTGAGGCACTCTTCGATAAAGGAGATTTGGTGGTAGCTGAAACTGTGTGGAGATCCAAACTCAAGTGATCTTGTGGGGTTTTGTTTTCTTTTAAGATGGGAGGAACTGTAGTACGTTTGATGCTGATGGGAATCATCCAGCAGAAATGGAAGCGTTGATGACTACAAGAGAGATGATAGAATTGTTGGAAGCGCATACTTGAGCATACCTGAGTGGGAAAGCAGGGGTGGAATCGGATGTAAATGAGGTGTTGGCCTTAGATAGGAGCATGATGTGTTCACAGTTACCAGATGGAAGGTATAACATATGGTCATAAATGCAGACAAGTGGACAGATGCAGTGGTGGGATCTAGTATTGCAAGTATTTTTTGGATGAAATAGGAAGTAAGGTCAAGGAGTAGGATGGGAGAGAGATGTTAAAAGCTGAGGAGAAAGGAGACAGTACGACACAGTATAATTGCCAGGCAGCATTAAAGCAATATTTGAGAGGTTAATGGTCATGAATTTATAGTAACACCAGATAAAATGGTGGCTTGTTTTTCTCCAACCCCATATAGCTGATAGGGTTCAGGATTGAAATAGGAAGAAAATTGGATTTAATATGGGTGGTGTTAAATCTAGCTTCTCAGACTAGAATGCATAATCAGCCATTTCTGCGAGTCCTTGCTATTACTCAAGTGTTTCCCACCCCCCCCCCCAGCCTTTTGCCTATTCCCACAGTTGCCTACTGTTCATGGTTTGACAATTCCTAACACTTTCTTTGCTCCTGGGATACGAAAGATAGCTGAACAAAGTAAAAAAGAAAAAAGTGCTTATCAGGTTCACAAATTCATGTTGAGACCCCTAACCGGTGCTAATTAACTCTACTTACTCAATTTTACCTGGATTTTTTTTCCCCTTTTTAAAATAATACTTCTCACAACGGTTGTCCCAGACCTTCCCAGGCTTTTCAATTCACCCTACCCACTTGATCTGAAGATTCTAGTTCATTGATAATATCGAGACTATCCAATATAAGCTCTTCTGGATAATCTTTTCAACATTTCAAAATCTTTTTATTGACATCTTTCCACTCCTTTCTCAGAGAATCAAGTGAGAAACATTGAGTGTTGGGAGCAATCGTCATTTATAGACTTGCCTCTCACTAGCTCTGTGATTTTGGTCATGATATATTAACTTCCCTGAACCTCGATTTCTTTAGTGGATTATCTGCATCTCATGAAAACTTTGTAAGGATCAAATTATTTTACATGAAATTACATCAGCCAGGCACATAGCAAACTTCTCCTGCCAAATCTTCTCAACTAATATTCTAGATTCCAATCCTTTCTTTCTCCCCTGGGAAATTTGTTTTATTACTTATCTTATTTGTCATTAAAGCTATGTGAGTTTAGATCTTAACTACTGACTAAATGTATGATTTTGAGCAAAATATTTACCCTGTCATTATCTCAGTTTTCTTGTCTGTAAAATGGAAGTAAGAATAGTACCTACCCTCATAAAGCTCTTGTCAGAAGTTAAGAGATCATGTAAGAAAAGCACTTAGTGAGCATAATAATAATTATTATTAGCTAATTCAACACATAATTATCATAGAAGTACGAGGGCTATGCTTACATAAGAAATGGTGCCAGCTGTAAGCAAACTCATCATCTTGTGGGTTAAACAGATAGGTAAACAAAAATCTCTCACACATAACCGTAAGTACTATAACAGAAGTGGGAGCTCTGGTAGCATAGTGCCTAAGGCATTTGACTGCTAACCAGAAGGCTGGTGGTTCAAACCCACCAGCTACTCCTCAGAAGGAAGGTTGGGCAATCTATTTCTGTAATGATACAGCCTCAGAAATCCAAGGACGGGTCGCTATGAGTCAGGTTCAACTTGAGGGCAGTGAGTTTGGTTTTTGGTTATAATAGAAATATTGTATAAAGTGCCATAGGACCTGAGAGTAAAACCAACACAGGCTTAGGGAATAAGATAGAGTTCACTGAGGTCATTTAGACATTTGACCTGGATCCTAAAAGATGAGTAGAAGTTTGCAAGTTGGAAAGGAGGAGAATGTAAGTACTTACTCTAGCCTGGCCTATAACTGCATGTTATGTTTCTGCAGTAAATAGCCCTTGTAGCTTCCTGAACATGTTATACTACTTCATTCCTCTGTGTGCTTGGCCATCCCTGGCCATTTTCTTTTTCCACCTTGTCAATCTGGATCCTGACATGCTTTCTTGTCCCACTCCCTCGGACAGAGTTAACCACTCTGTCCTCTACGTTCCTCCTCTTCTTTGTATATATTTTTATTCTGATGTATCACCAAAGCAAAAAAATGAAACCCATTGCCATCGAGTCACTTCCGACTCATAGCAACCCCCATTGGATTTCCGAGGTGGTAAATCTTTACGGAAGTAGGTTGCCCAGTCTTCCTTCTGTGGAGTGGCTGGTGAGTTTGAACTGCCAACCTTCTGGCTAGCAGTCAAATGCTTTAGGCACTGTGCCTAAAACACATTATTATTTATCTGCTTGTCTTCTCTACTACTGGACTCTGATTTCATTGACAGAAGAATCTTCATCTTCTTATTTTTATTTTCTAGGCTTCAGAACAGTACCTAGTACAAACTCACTAAAACTCACTGCCATTGAGTCAGATCTGACCCATAGCAACCCCTCCTTGTGTTTCCCAGGCAGTATCACTACGGAAGTAAGTTGCCCAATCTTCCTTCCAAGGAGGGCTGGTGGGTTTGAACTGCCAGCCTTCTGGTTAGAAGTCATATGCCTTAGGCACTATGCCACCAGAGCTCCGGTCTAGTGCATAGTAGATACTCAAATCAGCACTCACAGAATTGACCTGAAAGACATTCCAGGCTGTGGGAATCATATATAAAGGGCATGGTCTATCTGGGCAATGTGAGGTTAATGTATCTGGAGCATAGATATAGTGGAATGCAGTTGAAGGAGATATAGTAGAAGAAAAAGCGTCGGGCCCAGATTGTGGAGGTGGCCTACCAAGAAGTTGAATTTCATCCTAAAGAAGAATTTTATTATAAAGAACTATAGAAGTTTTAAGTAGAATCATGACATGGTCATAATTTAATTTTGTCAGATACTTTGGTGGCATTGTGTGGAATAGACTAGAGTGGGGAAAGACTGGTGGCAGGGAAACCGAAGAAATGAGAGATAATGAGAAATGGGAATAAGGTACTCTATGTGAGAATGAGGAGGAAAGACTGGACGTGAATTTTTCAAAGATAGAACTGATACAATTTAGAGGCCCTATGGATAAGGAGGAGGGTGTTGTTGAGGGGACATAAATTGAAATTGAAGATAATTTTAAGGTTTCTAGTTTATGAACCCAAATAACTAGTGATATCATTATAGGACTAGAGCAGGTTCAAGTAGAAAGATCTATGTTGGGGAAGTAAAATATGAAAGAGAAAGAGAAGAGAATGAGTTCAGGTTTAGACATGTTAATTTGGAATGCATGAAGGACACACTAAGTTATAACAGGCAACTGGAAGTCATTATCTGAAGCTTAGAAAAAACATTTGGCAACAAATACAGTTTTGAAAGTTGTCAGCTGATGGTAATGGAAACTAGGAGGGTTAGATGAGATTTCCTAGGGATAATGGTGTATAGAGTGAGAAGAAGACCAAGGATGGAACACTGGAGAACATCCATATAGTACAGACAGAGAAGGAGTATTGTGGAACACATTGATAAAGACCAGGGAGAGAAGGAAGAAAAGAACCAAGAGAGTGATGCCATGGAAACCAAGGGATAAGGAAGGAAAACTGTCAAACAATGTAGAATCTCAAGTCACATAAAACTGAAAGTAGGCCATTAACATGTCAATCAAGAGGTCATTGGTGATTTTGGTGAGAACAGGAACTGAAGAAGTACAGGCATTGATAGTATACTACTCAGATTAGATTTGTCTTTCATTTTTTAAAAACCAGTAATTATTAAGACTGTGGTTTTCAAACCAGCATGAATGCATGAAGTTTGCAAAAATTTCTTAGATGATCTGACAAGCTCCCCTCATCCCTTTTTATCCTTTCTTTGTTTGAGAACCACTGCAATACGATATGGACTGTTACTTTTTTTCTTCTTGGGGAGAATCTCATATTCATTCATTTTTTCACTCACTCACTCAAACAAATGTTAGTTAGTAGTAATAATGCTAATGTTTATGAAGCATTTGTAGTTTACAAAATAGAGTCAACCCTTAGTCAAACATTTAAGGTCCTTCACACTGTGACCCAACCTACTTTTCCAGTCTTACCTCTCATTACTGTTTTATATATAGTCCTTAGTCTAATTGTATGGAAAGAATTCTAGACATACCCTGATCTTTCTTGTTTCTGTGCTTTTATTAGTTTCAACAGGAAAATCCTTCCTCTCATATCTATCTTTTAAAATTCTATCCTTCCTTCAAGATCTGTATCAAATGTCTCCCTGAG